GCAGGGAGCCCGATGCGGGACTCGATCCAGGGACTCCAGGATCATGACCTGAGCCAAAGGCAGTCGCTTAACCAACTGAGCCACCCAGGCGCCCGTCTGAGTAGAATTCTTATTTTAGTGAACTTTTATTAGAAATATACAAGAGAAAGTGCATGAGTCCTAAGAGTATCTATAACTTGATTTTTCCACAAAGTCTACACACTCATGTAATCAAATCAGTGCCCAGATCAAGAAACAAAACCTACCAGCGTCCTAAGACTCCCCTGCAGTCACTACAGCCTCCTCTCCCCCTAGATAACCACCATCATTACTTCCACACAATAGATTCTTGTGTAATTCTGGAAGGCAGTTACGTTTACCACTATAGCACCAACACTACTTTTGTGTATTTTTGAATGTTACATAGTAGAATAATATAGTATGGATCTTTCCCCCTTTTTTTGAATCTGGCTTCTTTTTGAACAGCCTCATTATTTTTATTTGTATGAGAAGAACCAGGAAAAGCAGCCCCAGGAAGAAAGACACCAGGGATTTCTATGTTTTAAGAATCAATATTATAAATAAGCATTTTTTTAAAACCATTTTAGATATTTAGCATTTTGTTTGTTTTTGTGAGGAGGCTGAAACAGGCCCAGAAAGGAGAAAAAAGGTGGGTTCTATGGTTTGGTTCAAAGTTCCTGGGTGCTAATTCATCAGGTCAGTCTGTTAGAATCACCACCATCCTAGCAGCTGGTGTTTACTGAGGCCTTGCTACATGCCGGGTGCCTTCCTCAGTATTCTGCATGTGTGAGGACATTTCATTCCCTTAAGTACCACATCTATGAGACAGGGACTATTGTCTTCACTTTACCAATGAGGAAACTGAGGCTCTGAACCATTTGCCTGTGGTGATGCAGCTAATAAATGAGCCAGGGTTTGAACCCTGGCTTCTAGCTCCAGAGTCTGTCCTCTGCGTGTTCCACTAACAGCTCTCATTTACAGGAAGTTTGCCACCTGCCAGGCCCCATGCTAAGTGCTTCACATGGCCTATCTGACTTGCCCCCCAAGGCAATCTGAAGAATTTGGTGCTACTGATACTCCCATGCAGACAGAACGGAATCGAGGCTCGGCAAGATGAAGACACTTGCCTAATGCAGCTGACTTCCGGCAGAGCCACGACTCAGAGCTGCTGTGAGTCTGATGCCCCTCTCTGACTTACTCAGCTGTCCTGTCAGTGTGCTTCAAGCTCCAGTCAGTCAGGTTGGGGAGGAATATTTGAAGAGATTTTTTTTTTTAATTCGAAGATTTTTGAGGCTTATTACAAATTAGCCAAACTAACACCAAAACTGCAAAAGACTTTATTATAAGACACATACAGAGCATTTGTGAGAAACCTATAATTAGTGGGCCTCAGAGTTGGCGTGCAAACTTCCTCCCTTCACACACAAGCAGACGAGGCCTGGGAAGGGGCGGTGTGGCAGAGGCAGGTGGCAGAGCCAGGGTGCAGGTCAGCTCCCTAAGCCTGGCATCCGTAACTGCTCCCCACTCCTCCCAGTGTCCTTTCTTAGGGAGCAGATGCACTTGAGTTGGCCAGACCAGTGTTCTGCTCCTGACACCACCACCTACCTGCTGTGTGAGCTTGGGCACGAGACGTCACCTCTCTGGCACCTCATTTACCTTCTCTGCTAGGTGGGGAAGGTACAAATACCTACCTTTTAGGTAGTTCAGAAATGTACGTAAAGCACTTAGCGCAGGGCCTACTACACAGCAGGTCCCTGTAAATGACAGCCGGGCTGCTGATGTAATATTGACTACGATGACACTTTTTCTACTCCTGTTATGTGTAAGTCAAAACAGAAATTTAGCACTTAATTGGAACAAATTAATCCCAAATATTAATTGAAAGTTAATTCTGGATTATTTGGTGAGGATCCAAATATAACTTCCGAGATCACTAAAAAGCTTCCTGAATAAAAAGGCATGAATGAATAAGCAATGAATTCACCTGAGCAAAAAAAGGCAAGTGGCAAAGCTACAGAGCAGTTCTAAGGATAGCATGTAAGAGAATTACAGAATGATAAGAATTATGGAACTTCACAGAAGTCAATCAGTTTGAAAAGAGTCTCAAGTTAGTTCTATTTCTAATCTTCTGCTTCATAAAAAAGAAGACAAGGCAGAGCACTCAGGTGGGGACAAGGAGGTACTTTATATTTCACTGTTTAAACATTTTCTCTGAAAACAAATTACCGTTAGTCATTCAGGTCACATAAAAGTTGGATGTTGTTTCATTCCCTGTTTCCACGCTGACCACTGATACAAAGGGTCCGGTCCATCATTAGTTCATGCACTTACCTAACTGGACATCAGTTGTGAATCGTAGTCTGTGGATCATGCTGACTTTGAATGACTTGTAATGGTGGCTGCTAAGCATATCCTGTACTGTAGCTATGTCAATCTGTGAATCCTCCTCAAAAACTCCGTCTGCCCTTGAACCTGGGGAGGAAAAAGCAGCTTAACACATAAAGATACATGAGGCTTGGCAAATGGTGTCTGCTTAAAATGCTTTGGGATAAATTAAAATAATATGGGCTATTTAATTTGGAGAAGAAAAGGCTGAGCGATGACTTAATAATGCCATTCCAGTAAACAGAGAATGGTAGCATATTCATCATTCAACAATTAATTCCACAAACACTGCCTATTCTATGGCAGGCCCTTGGCTGGGCAGCAGGGATACGCAAGGACAGAAAAACTGCTGCTTGCCAGAAGCTCTCCATCTCCACGAGAGTAAGTTAAAACCACAAAAGCATGGGTGGTCGCACTTCTTGTTTCTTCTCCTAATAATACTTTTTCTGATCATAAGAGTAATCCACGCTCTTGAAGAATTCTCATGCTTTCCAAGATTCTCAAACTGTCTGTTCATCAGCTTCCTGTCTTGCGCCCCAGTCTCCACTGGTGTGGGCACGAGCCTGCTCCCGCTTGGACGGCTGTTAACAGTCTCCTCACTGGCCTTCTGGCCACCAGGCACTCTCTGCAATCCAGCCACCACAGGACTTTCTGATTCATATGGCTTTCTAAAGCTTTGATCATTTATTCACTCATTCAATGTTTAGTGAGAGCTTTGTGCACGCTCAGTACTCTGATATGTGATACTGGGGACAAATAAGAAGGTTTGTGCTAAAAAATCTTCCCTGACTTCCCATGGCCTCCTGAATGAGGCATTGTTTTCAGCCAAGCAATCAAGGCTGTCTATAATCTGGCTGAAACATAATTTTTCAATTTTACTTGTCATTTCTCATCCATACCTTTTGTAGTTCCTCCCAAACTCCTCAGACTGCACACAAGTCCAGGTTTTTCTACTTCTGGGCCCTTGCCTAGAACACCCCCCATCCAACCTTACCCTGGACTTGTCAAAACTCTACCCAGGGCAGCTCAAACTTCACTTCCTGAATTCCATAGCAGTTGGTTTATACCGGACCCTGGAGCCAGAAAATTCAATTCAATTTTTAGCTCTGCCTCTAACTTGCTATATGATCTTGGGCAAGTGACTTTATCTCTCTGAACCCCCGTTTTTACCATGCACAGAATGCCAAATATATTTAAAGAATCGAACACAAAATACACTTAATAAATAGCAGTCACGATTATTTTTATTCTACTCTCATAAAGCACCGCATTCAACCTTGCACTAAAATTGTTGAGTGGTTGGTCTGGCCTAATTTGGAAGCTTTTCGACAATCAGTAAAGTTTCTCATTCATCTCTGTATCTTCTGCAAGCACTACAGGCAGCTGGTGTGCTCTTGTTAAATTTTGCTAAAGAAAGAAAATAAATTAAAATAAAATAAAATAACATAAAGAACCAGTGTGTATGAATGCTAAGCACTTTACACATGCACTTAAGCCTCATTCAACCCGGTGGGTACTGATTTTCTGTATCATACAGATGAGGCATCTGAGGCTTTGGGAAGTAGAGTCATGTGCCCAGGGCCACACTAAGCACAGCTAAATTATCTCCCATCCCCCAGAGTTTAAACTGTGGTCTTCTGAAGGTGCAGTTGCTGGTGCCCTTCACCAGTGGGACGGGAGCATCTGTGCAGCAGAGGCCGACCAGAGCAGGTGCCCTAAGCCTTGTTGTGTGGAACACCCAGAGATGGCCCACAGGGGAATCCAGACAGAACTCCTTGGGACAGACTTGGAGGAATGGAAAACTCGAGGTTTGGGTATAAAATGGGAAAATTCTGTTACATAACTGGCAGCCTGACAATTGCATGCTTTTCCTTCCCACAGTTATTGCTTACAAGGTAAGCTTTTAAGTCAAAGTTGGTTTCTGATGCCTTTACACTGGACTCATTTATTAGGAATTGTGCATTCGATTTCCAAACCCTGCAATTATTCCCAGCTAAAATTACTCCAGCCCCTACAATAATGCTCTCCCTACAGTGAAGACACAGCCTCACCCTTAATGGGCCATTCACTGAATGTCCGTGATACGGTCCCATCTTTGAGCATCTGCGCATATTGTCTTCTTTGCCCAGGTCACCCTTCTCCCCACTTCATTCTCTCCTGACCTATTCCTCCAGGTCTCCTCCCTATTCTTCCTGAAGAACTTAGCTCAAGTGACACTCCAGGGAAAGCTTCCCTGATCCCGGGCCCCCAAGTCTAGTACAGCTCTTTTCGACACTGCACCCAGCATTTTCCTGCAGAATGCTGTCACAGCTAGTCATTACCTGTCTCTGCCCCAAGAGGGCAAGCAGAGTGACTGCTTTACTCACCATTATAGCCTAGATCCTGTTAGTGCCCAGGATAAAGCAAGTGCTCAATAAAAATTTACTGGATGAATACAGCTGCCATGTCCACAAGAAGGTGAAGATCAGAGAGGCTGAATGACTTAACCAATATCACCTCACTAGGATCAGAAGAGTTGCACTCAACATCTATAAGGGCCATTAGGTAACCTTGCTAGCTTTCTTTGGGACACCTGTAATTTTGGACAGAGGTGCCATCATTGCAAGTACTACTGTCTTCTGGGTAATGTCCATCTCTTAAACCAAGATGCTGGCTAGAATTTACAGAATTTCAAATAATCGTTCATTTTCCCCAAAACACACTCCACTGAAACAGAACTGCGGAGATATGTTTATTTCTATTTTTAGAACCTTTTAAATACGAGAGTTGTGGAGAATTTTGGTGAAATACTGAAATCCTTTCATGTTTTAAAAATCAGTTAAAGCCATCTTATCTGAGAAAATGCCATTATTAGATACAACTTAGCTCAAGAACTTCTGTTTTCTTTACTAATTAGTATTTTCTAAATATTGCAGGTATTTGATTTGGAAAGGGGTAACAGCTCATTATGCTAAAATGCCAATTACTAGAAAAAAAAAACAAAAAACCCACACTTAAGAGTTTTACATTTTATGATGTTGGATTAAAACCAATTTAAAAATTACTATAACGTGACATATAATTTTTTACTGAGCAATTTCAATGCCAGCTGCTAATAAAGCATCTTAGCTGTAAATGATAATTCAGATGCTTTTAGATAAAGTGGTGCATAAATATGGCTGGAAATTGATTTAGCTTCTTACAGAAGCTACTGAAGAATGACATATTTTGTTTAATACACCAGCTAATGTAGTCCTAAAAGCTCAAACAAGTGCCAGTTTTCACTCCTAAATTTGCTGTGGGAGATTAATGAAAACTTTATATTTTGCTGAAATGTTAATAATGGGCAGATGAGATGATAGGATTTTAGTAGAGGTCTTAAAGCTATGGAATAACCAGCAAGGCTTGTCAATTTCCTTATATTAATTTTGTTCAAGACTTACATAGCTGGAGCTGGCTCAACACACTAATGCTTCTTGCATTGACCTTCTACTCTCCAACGTGTAAATTCATATCCCATTTGAGGATTTAAGCCCCCCCTCATACTTGGGTAAATTCTGAGCCTTGCCCCAGATGACAAGCGGCGTGTTTGCTTTTGTGATTAAAAGGGCAACAGCACCTGGGAGAATAGGAAAGGAAGGAAGATCTCTGTGCTCGCCTCCAGTACATGCTGCCCACCCCCAAGCAGGTCATCTGATGAACTGGTCTCGGAGTTACACAGCCATTTTTCCAAGTAGGCTTAGGAGTGCCATTGCTTGGAGGGGGCATGTGTGTGTGTATAGATCAGTCACCCATATAACCTGCAACGACTCTCCCCATACCAGCAGGATGCTAGACTATGAAGGCACACTGGTGAGGATAAGGCAGGGTTCCTGATCTTTAGGAGCTTACAGACTTGCTATTAGGAACACAAAGAAAAGAGTACAAGGCAGAGATAAGTACCCAATAAATGGTGCATGCAACAGACTTTATATCGAAGCAGAGCATTATACCAAAAGCATGTTTTTGGAGGAGAAAAGTTCAAAGACTTTGCATGTATACTTTTACTGTTTGTATCCTTCCAGAAAGGAATGAACCCAACCATATATCAGCACTACACCATTTGCATGTTAAAATTATTACAAAAAGCAACTTCACATTTAAAAACCCACTTCTGTTCAAGAGAAGACATTTTTATCTACTCAAAGTCAAAAAAAAAAAAAAGAGAGAGAAAACCAGAATGTCTTAGAAATAAACATATTAAAAAAACCACTCCCAAAGTGTTAATTTAATTGAAACATAACCCTTTGGTATTTTGTTAAATGAGCAATTAAAAAGGTCACAAGCAATTAAATGAAACAAAAGCCACACTGTGTTCATCTACATTAATGCTGAACTGGGTCTCCTCCTGAATGACAAGATAAATTGTAATGGTGCCTTCAAAGACTTCACAATGTATTTTGTCAAAGTCGGGAGTGTTAATGTCTCTATGTGCCATGGATTACCATAATGTATCGTGTCAAAACGCTCGAGCTGCAATAACTCAAAGATGTATTGTGATAGATCAAATTTTGGGGTGGGACCTAAAAGTGACTTGAGCACCAGTGCGCTCAGATGGTCTGACACCAGGCTCTGGAAGAATGACAGAGAGCCCATTTGCAATTTGTAAAGGTTTGTGGGACAAAATCTAAGAGGGAATGGAGCCTAGCTATCTAGAGGAAAGAGGTAGAAAGGAGGAAACAGGAATGGCACCTATCTTAATGGCAAAACCAGGCTGGAGCAAGAGCGGGTAGAGGGAAGGAGAGGCAGGCAACATCTAGGGTCTGCAGGAAAGGAAGGAAAGGAAAGAAAGAGGAGGTGCTGAGTGCGCCAAGGGCTGGGAAGTGGCCTTGGGACTTAATTGGAAAGAACCTGGAACATAGAGTTCAGAGACGTCGGTTCAAATCGTAACTCTGACATCAAGGGTTAAGAGTGGGTCAAAACCTTGCCCAAGATTCCATTTTTGGGAAGAGGCAGAGCTGGGACAAATCTGTTGAACTCGAGTCCACCTTCCTTCTGCTGTGCGTCTCCTTCCCCTCCCGCCTCACCACCTTCCTACAGGCAGCAACAAGGAGACAGCCTGGGTAGGT